CCCCAAAACCCCAAAACCCCAAAACCCCAGAATTAAGCGTTAATGACGATTTTGGGAATTAAAAACTATAGTAGATTAATAGCATTGTTTATTATCAACTTATTAAAAATGTAAGAAAACATTTCTGCTTCTTAATAAACCTCCTTCGATAAGAGAAGAACTCAAAGTAAGAACAAATTAGAACCTCTTGCCAATAATAATCACATTCCTATGATTCGTTAACAGAGAGATAACTATCTAAGTCTCGAAATAGCAGCAGATAACCTGCTTTAAATCGATGGAGATACCATTTAAAGAAAAGACACCAGTGATAGCAATTAAGATAAGAAAAATAGTAGCTAAAATAGAATTTAAAATCTGGATCAAATTTAAACACCCTCAAACTAGAGACTGTTAGGTTATGAATTCAATGATGACAACTTATTGAATGAAAGCATTAACAATGAAAATGGTCCTATCAATAATAGTGGAGTACAAAATCTCAGTGGCTCTCAAAGAGGTCTCTTTGTTGATTACTCTGATTAATCTATTGGAGCGAATGAAAAAGATCAATCGCATATTATGAAAGATGAGCAAGTCTAACTTAATAAAAAATAACGAAATCTACTTCTACAAGATATGTATTCAAAGAGAAAGACGACTACTCCTTAAGATATTTGAAAAGGAGTGACACCAATTTTTCCATTTTCTTAAAATGATGATTAATAAGATGAAATCGAGTTCGGTATTGATTTTTTAGAATAGTAAGATTTGGCAAGGCGTAAGAGTGAGCAAGCTCCCAAATTTAAGAATAACTTGATATAGATTTAAGAAACAGTCCTTGATGCGAACTAGAAAAAAAATGCTAAAATCAATTTAACAGCTTTTTAGAGAGATCTTTAGAGTATGCACTAGCAACATATCTAATAAACCTCTCAAGAATCACATAGGGGTTCACAATAATTGACAATAAATATAAAGGATGAGATTAACAAGGGATTATTTTCACCCATAAATCTGAGAGATATTGATAACCTCTACACTCCAAAAAGCAAGGGCTAGAAAGTTCAATTCTTTACAGACCAAGTTGAGCTCAGAAATTAAGACTCTAAAGAAGTACCTTCAGGATAAGGTAAAAAAGAAGTGGAAATAACAATAGATCAAGTCAGCGAATTTTAAGATTAAAGTAAGGTAGCACCCAATAATAATAATTCAGTAAACCCTGGAGGGTTCAAAGGATTCTTGCAACAATTAAGTCTATTAAAACCAAAAGTAGATTAATCTCAAACAGACAAATAAAATAAGGATGCTCAATAGAGTAGCTAGAATTCAAATTAGACTCCTTCATCCCCTTAAATCGTTTAATTATCTTAACCTGATTCGCATCATCTTACCTCAGAAGAAAACAAAGGTTAGGGTTTTATAGCAAAAAAATAAAAACATAAATTAGGGGATGAGATTTTTCAAAAATCTGGATTTTTCGATGACAATATCGGAGATATGAACTATTTAAAAAGGCATAAGAGAAAATATAGAAAAACCTGCCTAATGTATCCAGAGGATAAATTTAAGGGAAGATGGGATTTATTCATTACTTTGTAAGCAAATTGAAAATTGTTAATAAAATTTTTATAGCTTGCTACTATATACTTGCTGTTAAACTCCTTATGCTTTAGCATTCTTTGATGATACTACAACTTAATGGTTAGTAGTCAATACTGCAATTGATTGCATGTTCTTTATTGACATTTTTATCAATATGAATTCTGCTTATTTTGATCAAGATTATGAATTAATAGATGATAGAAAAATCATTGCTAAAGGCTATCTTTATTCTTGGTTTATGATTGATTTTCTCTCTATTGTTCCTTTCGATTAGATTTTTGAGTAAGGAAGCTACAACAGATTAGCTAGAGTTGCTAGAATCGGAAAAATGTATAAGATTATCAAAATGACTCGACTTGTAAGAATGCTTAAGATCGTTAAGGAAAGAAATAAACTTGTAAAGTATCTAAATGAAGTGCTCAAAATTGGGATAGGATTTGAAAGATTACTCTTTCTAATGCTTATATTCCTTGTGATGTGCCATATCACAGCTTGCTTATGGTAAATTGAATTTATTTAATGAATATTTAGGGTTTTTACTGCTAGATTTGATGATGCCTCAAAAATGAATTGGATTTTTTAAAATGGCTTTTAGGATTATGATGATTTCAATCTATATATAACATCATTTTACTTTACCGTGACTACAATAGTAACAGTAGGTTATGGTGATATTCATGCATATAATGTTGGAGAAAGATTTATATCTATATTTCTCATGATTATTGGCGTTATTTCATTCTCTTTTGCTACTGGTTCTCTATCCAGTATTATTTCAAATTACGATGCCTCTTAAGCTAAACTTAAAGAGAAAATGGCAACTTTAAATGACATTAAGAGATAGTACGATATTGACTCTGACTTGTTTGATTAGTTAATGAAGACTATAAAGTATGATCATAGCAAAAATATGCATGATATATAACAGTTTATGGAAGAACTACCATACAAACTAAAAACTTAACTTACATTAGAAATTCACAAGGAGATATATAAAGAGATCGAATTCTTTAAGTACTAAGCAAATGAATTCATAATTTGGATTGGACCCTAATTAAGACCATTTTTAGTAACTGAGTAAGACTATATCTACAAAGATGGAGACGACATTAAAGAGAGTAAGTAATGAATTCTTAATATGGAAAATAGTTTACTTTTTGGCGAATGGTGTTGCTGGATATGTTCTGCCCAGGTTTGACAATACAGTCTATATTCAAATTGAAAAAGGTGATCATTTTGGACTAATTGATCTTGTTTTTGATCCTGAAATATTGAATGTACAGACTAATATTAAGAGAAAAACCCAAAAAAGCAAACATTTAATCAGAAGATTCACAGTATAGGCAATAATTAACTGTGAGCTCCTATTATTTTCCCTGGAAAACATTGATAAAATGAAAATAGAATTCCCTGACGTCTTTGATTAATTGTTTACAAATAGTTATAGAAGATTAAAGAAAGAATTTAAGCTGAAAATTGATGCTCTAGAATAATGTGAAAAAGCTCGATAGATTAGCAATCTTACTTCTTTCAGATAGAACACCATTCTAAATCAGATTAAAGATTTTGGAAAATTCAATAGAGGTAGTAGATTTATTTAAGATTACAAGGAGAAAAAACTAAAAAGACACTTAACTAAATCAGATGTGAAATAAGTTTCAAAATTCTCATAAAATTCGCTTTCATTGAAATAGATTGATGAAGAGTTAGAAAGATCAGAAAGTTCAGAAGATGATAATGACGAAGAGCCAAGTCCAGAAAGGAAGGCTGAAAAGAAAAGAAGAATGTCTAAAAAGCAAACAAATTTGAAAATAGAAGATGGTTAGTAAGATGATTCACATATAAAATTAACTGATGATGAAGCTGCAGATGATGATAATGATTAAGAGAAAGAAGTGGTTATGAATGAGGAGGAGAAAGAATTCATTCTAAAGTTCAAAAAGAAGTTGGGTAGCTTCTTTAAGAAGACCTAGCCTGAAGATGAAGAATAGCAATAATAAAATTAATGCAATCATTCCCATAGAGAAATAGCTGAGGAGCAAAATAAAAATAGCCATGAATTGGGATTAAGGATTGATAACTTAGAGAGAATGTTTTAGAAAATGCTTGAATCTCAGGAAAAAATCTCCAAAGACATTTAGGAGATAAGAAATAAAAATAATTGAAAATTTAAACATGACTATTATTATATTTAAATCAGTAATAATTTTCTAAAAATAGACTTGAGGGGTTTTGGGGTTTTGGGGTTTTGGGGTTTTGGGGTTTTGGGG